TATGAAACAAGTAAATGATTGAAAAGCAGGCAGATGGAAGAGAGTCGGTGGTGACTAGAGTCACCCAAGAAGACTCCGGGATGGGCTTTGAAGGATAAATGCTAGCAAATCAATCAGAACCTGATGAAGTTAATTCTTTTTATTTTTTCTTTACCCCTTCTTTACCATCTTCAAAAGCTAAACAAGGGCTGGGGTTGTGGTTTAGTGGCAGAGTGCTTACCTGGCATGTGAGGCACTGGGTTCAATCCTCAGCACCACATAAAAATAAATAATATAAAGGTATTGTGCAATATACACACACACACACACACACAAATAATTTGAAAGTTATTGCTAAATGCTTATTCAATTGAATAGCTTTATTTTTAAACAATTTCCAGTGCTGTGTATCATTTCTGATTAGATGTAAGAGTCAGCTCAGCAGCCTTCACTGAGGTTGTTTTTGGTTTTGTTTGTTTGTTTTTTGATTTTATGGTTCTGGGGATGGAACCCAGGGGCTCTTGCATGCTGTGCAATCACTTTACCACTGAGCTACACTTCTGCCCTTGAGGGTTTCCTTAGTTCAGTCACAAGGCCAGCAGCATCCCAGACAGTGACCGCTCTATGTTCTGGAGTAGGTGAAGCAGAGCTCAAGTCACCCACACCAGTGTCCATGTAAAGAAATGAATGCACTTGAAGCAAGCTCCTTTGCCATGGCTAGACCTCAGGCCTAACCTTAGAAAAACATCATAATGTGAAATTTTGCCCAGTTTTGTAACTTAAATGCTGTGATGTTGCCCTAAGACAGTTTTTGGCTTCTATTATAGTTTAGATGTGAGATGTCCCACAAAAGCTCATGTGTGAGCCAATGCAAGAACGTTTGGAAGTGAAAGGATGAGATTATGAGAGCTATAACCTAATCAGTAGATTCATCCACTGATTTATATGGATTAACTATGTGTTAACTGTAGGCAAGTAGTGTGTACCTGGAGGAGGTGGGTCACTGGAGTGTGCCTTTGGGGTTAATATTTTGACCCCAGTGAGTGAAGCAGTTTCTCTGCTCCTTGGAGTTACGTCCTCAGCTGGTCTTCTACCACACGCTTCTGCCATATGCTCTGCCTCACCTGGAGCCCAAAGCAATGGAGCTGGCCATCTATGGACCCAGATCTCTGAAACTATGAGCCAAATAAAATTTTCCTCTTTTAAAATTGTTCTTGTCAAGTCTTTTGGTCACAGCAATGAAAAAGATGACTGAAACAGCTTCCATACTATTTTTTTTAAATATTTATTTTTTAGTTATAGGTGGACACGATATTTTATTTTTATGCAGTGCTGAGGATCAAACCCAGTGCCTCATGCATGCTAGGTGAGCACTGTACCTCTGAAACACAACCCCAGCCCTATTCTTTAATTTCTGGTAATATTTATACAAGGATTTGCAAAGAAATGCAAGGTTTTGGTGTTCTCTCCATTAGATATTTCATAGGCTAAATTGTGTCCACACAAATTTCAGATTTATAAACCTTAACCTTAGAATATCATTGTATTTGAAGGCAAGGTCTTTAAAGAGTTAATGAAGTTTAAAAGATATTTTAAGGACCTAGGTCCTCATCCTATCTTATAATCTGTCCTTTTAAGAATAAGTTTGTACATAAACATGTGCATGAAGAAGGAAGAGACCATCTGAGGATACGGCAAGGAAGCCATCTGCCAGCCAAGTAAGGAACCTTAAAAGAAATCAAACCTGCCAACACCTTGATTTTGGACTTCCAGCCCCTACAACAATGAGAAAACAAATTTCTGTTGTTTAAGCCACTCAGTCTGGTATTTTGTTTGTTATGGTTGCTCTGGGAAACTAGCAAATTATCCCTACTCATGAAATTTTAAATTTCAGGAACTAGGGGAGTAACTCAGTGGTAGATCACTTACCTAACATGAAAAAGGTCCTGGACTTAATCCCCAGCACTGTAAGAAAACAAACAGGCCAGTCCCTTATTTATAGTAGTTGAACATACAATTTTTCAACTTTTACAACCATGTGAAGTGGACCTATAGGTCCACTTCATTCTGTTGTTCACTTTCAGTACTACAGTCAGTAAATTACACTTTATAAAACAGGCTTTGGGTTAGATGAATTTACCAACCATAGGCCAATGTAATTGTTCTGAGCACATTTAGGATTAACTAGATATATGATGTASGATCTGTAGGTAAGGAATATAAAATGCATTTTTAACATATGATATTTTCAAGTTACGTTGGCTATATCAGGGTGCAAACCTATTGTAAGTTAAGGGGCATCTGAAATTGCACCCCATTCCCATCTCATGATTCCCAACACCAGGTGGAATACCAAAGAAGTGTGTTCAATTGGAATGAGATGTGTGGAGAAAACTTAAAAATCAAAGATCCTTTTTCTATTCAATTTTTTAACAACAGTGAAGAAGAAAACAGGGTAGTTGTTTGGGAAATAATGGGTTGACGGATCTTTTGATGGTAGGACAGCAAGTTCATGAGCTCAGCTTGGTCTGAGTTTGTCAGACCAAGACTGAGATTGAGAAGCCTTTGGTTTTTATGTATTACATCCTGATGAAATTTCCAAGTTCCAGGAAAAATTTGGTAAATAAGCAAAGGATAATGTGCTATCCAAATATGTCCAATATATTTATAAAAATACCTCAATTCTTAGATCATAGAATTTTTTAAAATTTTTGTCCCCCTGGAGATCAAGCCAGGGCCTCTTGCAGGCTAGGCAAGGACTTCTGCTGCTGAGGAACACTCCCAGCTCAAAAAGCTAACCTCTTACTATGTAAAACACAATTTACAAATTTGCAAGAAAGAGACCACTGTCGCAATAATAAGTAAATAAATAATATAAAAAATTAATTCACAAAATAATAAATTTAAATCTTACTACTTTTTAAAAATCCAATCATAATTATTGGTAATTTGGGACATGCTTAGCATTGTAGCCAACACCAAGTACATGATATTGAGCAAAAATGGCCCTGATTACAAAGTACATGTATAAAGACATGAATTAGAGTGAACATACTTTATATGCAAAGATATGAAAAATTGTGCTCTATATGTGTAATAAGAAATTGTAATGCATTCCTCTGTCATGTATTTAAAAAAATAAAATCAATTTTAAAAAATGGCCTTGATATGAAAGAGTTCACAGTATAACATTAAATCCAATTCACAAAGAAATTTAAATTAATTGTGCTATTAATGTTAATTGTGCTACTTATAATAGAGGAAAGTAGAGACCACTTTAATGTTCAACAGTTGGTGATAGGTTAAATAAATTGATGCAGACACTAAATTTTTTTTAAAAAAAATTAATAACATTGGAAAATTCTCACAACACAATATTAGTAAGAGAACAACGCAACACAAAACTGGAGACAGCAACAGAATGAAATTGATGTGTGGATATGCGTAAATTCTACATTTTCTAGAGTAAAAGTGTTATTCTAATAAATAAGAAAAAGTTTCTAAAATAAACAATATAAACGCTTTTGACAAAGATACCATCTTATATTTTAATTACCAAGTAAATTGTCTAAATATACTCGTTTTATTTTTTAAATTGACAAAAATCGTCTATATGTATGATGTATAACATGAATTTGTGAAATTGTATAAGTACGCTCTTTTGAAAGATCACAATTTGGGTACATTTTGGAGCAGTGGGGCTAAGAAAATCCTCCTGATGCTAGAAGTGACACAACAATTCTCTTAATTGAGCAATGAAATGCCACTGTCTTGTTTAAATTGATTTTAAGAGAAAGTCAAAACTTGTCTTGACATTCACTTCTGCCTTTATAAGATAAACAGAGTTATTACCACCACCMCCCCMMAAAAAAAAGTTTAAAACCACAAAGAGGTCTGGGATGTCGCTCAATTGTTGCTCCTATATTTTATCTCTTGTACCAAATAAAATTAAAAACAAAAACAAAAACAGCACGGTACTGAGTTTCACTGGAGGCCTTATATTTCCTCCCTCTTGCCCTGACTTGCTGAGGTCCACAGCTGACCCACCGCCGCAGGTGGCGGACTTCTGCGCCAAGCCCCGAAACACCGCTTCCCGCCCAGGGGAGGCACTTGGGCCCTGCGGCCGGGATTTCAGAAACCTGTTCGTACCATCCCTTTTGGGCGGAACGATCTTATTTAGTAAATATTTATTTCGTTCCCTGAACACTCAGAACTAATCACTGCCACTTCTCTTTAATAATAAATGGTGAACTTCAAATGCGACAGAAATGAACCGACTAATCAGTGCTCGCCGGGAGGTGCAAAACTGTCTGAAACCCACCGATGGACTTGAAAGACGGAGCATTTCCTGTTCCAGCTCTCGGTGGCCCAGAATAAACTTGAACCAAATGGGAAGATGCGGATGCGGCCGCCCCCCGCGCGAGGGCCACAGGAGCCCGGGACCCATCTGCCCGCGCGCGGCCCGGCCGTCCGCCCCTTCCCCTGGCGCCCCGGGGACCCTCAAAGCCCGCGGCTCTGCCTGCTATGCAATCTGGGCTGCTTCTCCTTTGGGCTTTGAATGCTTCCTTTTAAACTCGCTGTTCAGTTGCAAACCAATTAGCCCTTTCCGTTTGCCTGGGCGATGAGTGGAAAGCGGAGAGCGCGGCCCGTGCGCCCCTYGCCAGCTCAGAGCCAACGCGCGGGTTCCTCACGGTGGGGCTGGGGCAGCCATACCTCGCCTTGGTGAGCAGGGGTCAGCACGCGGGGTGGCCTTTATGCCAGCGTCCCTGCCCTTTGGTCTTCAAAGGTTTTTTTTAATTGAATAGGTAAGATAAGGGTCGCCCCTTCGATGGTTTCATTAGGAAACGTACACCACAAATATAAAGACCACCCCATATATTTTTCCATCATGGTGCGTGTATTGCTGTCCCCACTTTCGTCACTGCTGGTTATGGGAATGATATAGGGTCTTCAGATATGTTGTATGATTTTCGTCCCAGACGCAGGGATGAAGACACTAAAACTGTGCGGAGATATTTTTATTTAAAGTTGTTTATCCAAAATGTAATTTGAATTTCATATTCAAATGAAATCACGAGTGTTTGAGACGAGYTTACAATAATTTTCTGATAAACCGTATTTTAGCTTTAAATGAGAACTTTATCATAATCTCCAAATTATTCAATCTTTCGTATGATGCAGACCCAAACAGATCTAGATGAAATTTCTTTTCAAATTTAACACATTTCTGTTATATTTGTAAATGTGAAATAATTAGGGATTGACACCAAAATGGCTTTGCCTCATTCCTCTAGAGTTCTACAAATGTACTTTTAATTCTATCCATTTCAAAATCCCTAGTAGGAACCGGGAAAAGACTGGAAGCTCTTGTTCTGTCCACAACCAGTCACTGAAAACAATACCGTGGAGTGTTCAGTGCTGGACTTGGAGTGCCCCTCTGTGGAAGAAGCTGGGCACTACAATTTTTCTTTCTTAAGGTGACTTGGTTGAGGCTGTTCTCTAGGAAAAGTAACATTTTGTTTCTCATGCTCTCCCCACCATAAAATCAGATGTTACTTTTCCGTTGACACTTAAGAATTGAACCTCTCTTTTTTTCTTATATTAACACTTGAACATTTATTGAAAATAATGAATGAAGCCTTTTGTCTTCCTCTCTTCCCAAAACTCTCCAACTGAGGGTAAAACATTGCAAAACCCACAGCTGTGCTCCTCCCCACGGTGGCATCTTGGGAGCAGATAAAAAGAAGTGGCAAGGAGCAACATGTGTATTGTTTCATGTGCCAGCTTTCCACAATTGGTAGTGGCTGCTACAGAGGCTACTGAGAACTGAGTTTGGACTCAGAAGGAAAAGAGAGGTATAATGCAGAAACTGGATTGATTACTCTGCTTCCAAGAAGCTGAAACCTGTCTTATTGATCTGTAATGGCAATGGTCATTGGCTTATTGTCTCTGAGTCTATTTGACTTATTTTAGTCTTTGTTTTAATCTTAAACTTTTACAAAAGCATTCATCATATCCCCTTTAACACTACCAAACAATAAATCCCATTTTTGTTTATGAGATACTTGGTAGCAAAAAGTTCTCTCTCCATAATTATCACTAAAGTCTCTCTCCTGATTTTCCAGATGCTAGTCCAATCCATCCTTTCTCTACTATTTTGTTCCTCAATTTTAATTTGATCTGTGTGCCATTATGTGCTGTGTGCCACAATGATGCAGCTTATAAGCAGGAACTGGCCGAGAGTGTTATTACAACAACATAAACTGGAACTATCCTGGGAAAATAAGGACATATGGCTATCCTACCTAGAAATCCTAAAGTTCAAGGGAGAAGGTCACTGTTCCTTCATAGTACATGATGAACCACAAGGTTATCATGCACCTGCTACAGATCCCCATGAAATCACCACAGACTATGTTCCTCAGAAACAGTGTATAGTGTGCTGCCTGATCATTTTCTCTCATTTGCTTGACAAGGTATTTCTAACTACAATCTCAGAGTCTTTGCAAGCTTCAAACTAACTCCTGAAGGAATATTAAATATTTGACACAAAAGGTTGCTTACTAGTAGATCCTCAGATGTTTCATACAGAGATGACATTAAGTACCCCAGATGTCCAGAACAGTAATGCTTCCACTTAACTCAACTGATATGTTCCTAAAAAATATATCAAGTGAATCACATTTTAATTTACTGCAAAACTGACTGAATAGTGAAACTGGCTCATAGTGAACCTCCTATAATTGTTGAACTCCTTTTAAAATGCAAAGAAATTTTTACATGCAAGATTTACTCTTGTAAATCTAGACTTCTATAGGCTTGGTTTTCTTACAGCAGAGAAAGTGTGGCATAGAACTTTGGTTTTCATTAGAGGTGATAAAACTGAAGTCAGATGTTCAACTTATCTCAAATAGGAAATGTTTTCATTTGGTTACTTTTTACCACAAGGAACCAAACCCTGACTGGTCTTACAGAATGAAAGTAATACATTGGCTCATGAAAATGAAGCTCAGACATCAAGCAAGTGTTGATCCAGAGGCCCCAATAGTGTCACCAAAGTGCTTCTTTCCATTTCCTTCATTATCTTCCCAGTATTAGCTTCATCCTGAAGGTACATTAATGAAGCCACCAATTCAATCGTGGGTACTCAAAGGACATAATTCAGTGTTCTCTGAGAAGGAGAAACATTTGAAAACACTGAGTCATCTGAAAAGATATTTTTCCAAAAAGAAAATCTTCAGATTGAACAGTTTTTAAGAAGCAAAACTTTGTTTTGAACCCATTTAAGTCCACAGTGGAGGAACTTAACCTCCTTTTTGTTTTGATGCAAATGTTTAGTATGCCAGTAGGGGGAGCTGTGGTGAGTACCAACATGTATTCCTGGCCTTACACATCACACCAAACACTGTGCTAAGAGAAACTTGGCAAACATGTGATCTGGCCTCTTCAGTGTCTAGGGAATTCTACCCAGAGAGGGGAGAACATAAATTTCACGTTATGAGAACTAAATAGATATTTTAAAGGTGAATGGGTATCAAGGTTCTGCACACTCAAATATATTATTTATCAAGAAACAACTGCAAATCAGTGTCTTACCCAGAATTTCCCACACTCCAGACCAACTAGACCCCTGTGAAGTGGGGTGCAGCATAGTTTTCGAGAGCAAGCACACTTTGTTCTGATACTCACAGCTGATACCCACAGCTTCTTCTTGGCTCAACATGGTGTTTTCTGAAATGAAAAACATAGAGCATGATGTCAATGTATTGTAGAAAATATAACTAGTATATTAAACTTATGATTTCACCAAGATTATTATTTGGATTGAAATTATAGTTTCTCTATCAGCAACATTCTATCTTATATAATCTTTTTAACTTTAAATGTAGGTTCAGAAATAGCCATGAACCTTACACAGAATCAACCTTACACATCGAAAGACATTTTAACATGCTGCCGTATTCACAAAGCTTTGTATGCTCTGGATATTTCAAGGTTTAAGAGAAAAATTTTATAAAGCTTTAAAGACTATTAGTCTCATTAATGTTAGATCATTGATTTTTTTTTAACTTTTTAAAGAGACGGAGCTCATTGGCTTTCAGTCAGCAATGTTCTCACTCCTCTATTTGTTTTGCAAGGAACTTCAAGTTTCTTCTGTATATAATCTTCAATCTGCCAAATTGTATGCATGACTTGTGTTGGTGTTAAGAGATAATTGCTCATTTGAACATTCTAAATCGAGCCTTCCATGGCAAGTTTACATTCCTCATTCGAGATAAAGTGAATGAGGAGATCAGGAAACTGGAGCTATAGGGAACACTGCTTGATCATGGTGAGTAAGATACATTTCATTGTCCAAATTACCTTGTGTAAACTCATCTAAAGAACTAGTTGTAAATGTATTTTTTAAAATTCTCCAAAAAAGGGTTTCAAATTTCTTCTTCCAGCAGTTTAGAAAGATTAATTCTTGTGAAAGACCCCTACCCCCCACACACACATACACAGAAAGTCTCAAATAAACTATCTTTTATTGCATTTCTAAATTTGTAAGGATAAAAGAAATTTTCAGCATACTCCCTCCAAAATTAAAATTTAAAAATGCAAGATAGTGAGCAATAATAAAAAGGAGAAAATGGGTTGACCTAAAGACAAAAGCCAATACCAGATCTGTATAGCTGAATTAAATCTTGGACTAGAAGCAAGTTCATGTACTGAATCTGAAAGTCCCACATTAAGCTGAGTTTTCAAAAAGACACTAAATTATTCTAGGGCAGTAGTTCTCCTGTTTCCTAGCAAAAGCAAAAATAAAAATTTCCTGGGGAAAACCTTTCCTAATGTATTCCCCCAAAATTCCCATAGATCCAAAGGAGGGCTCCGGTTGTGGCTCAGCAGTAGAGCACTTGCCTAGCACATGTGAGGCACTGGGTTCAATCCCCAGCACCACATAAAAATAAACAAAGGTACTGTGTCAATTTAAAAAAAAAAAGAAAAGAAAAGAAAGAAATATGACCTCAAAACTAAAAACAGCAAATACACATGAAGAGAAGGAACTATTATTGCAAGTCATTACTAATTACAAACAGACGGAATTCATATTTGAAATTGTCAGACACAGATTACAAAATTGCTTCCTGTAAACTGCAAATAATTAAAGATGTATATTTCTGAATCCTATAGATTTTTAAACAATTAAAAATGATTAATTATTAAGAAAGTGTCAAAAATATCTTGCAGATTTGAATAATATAAACAAAATAACGTTTAGAAATAAAAATATAATTGTTGAAAGATAATTTAACAGATGGCTTAAATTTCAGATTAGATGTAGATAAAGAGGAAATTAATGAACTGGAAGATATATCTGAAAGACATCTACAGGATCCAGTATAAAGAAAAAAAGGAGGGCTGTAGTTGTAGCTCAGTGGTAGAGTGTTTGCCTAGCATGTGTGAGGCACTGGGTTCAATTCTCAGTACCGCATATAAATAAATAACAATAAAGGTCCATTGATAACTATATATATATAGTTTTATATATATATATATATATATATATATATAGTTTTATATATATATATATAGTTTTATATATATATATAGTTTTATATATATATATATATAGAGAGAGAGAGAGAGAGAGATAGATATAGATAGATAGATAGATAGATAAAGGAGGCATATATTAAGATAGACAGCAAGAAAGAGAGATTAAAAGATAAAGGCTTTAAGATACAACCAATCAGAGTACTAGAGAAGAAATAGAGATAATGGAGAAGCTGAAATATTTGTGAAGAAAATGACAAATAATTGTTCAGAATTAAAACAAGAATTAACAAGAAGTTAATGTATAACAAGCAATATAAATAGAAATCCATGAAGATGTACAATGTAGCAAAATGGTAGACCACAAAAAAAATTAAAATTAACCTGAAAGAAAGGGAATTATGGTTAGACTCTCAATAGTAACAATAGAAAATAAAAGAGGAATAACAACTCTAAAGTCTTGAGAAAATTTGCAGATTTAAAATTATGCATTCAGCAAAACCATCTTTTCAGAAATAAAATGAAAATGTCTCCATAGACACTATCAGTTGAACAAAAAACTAGAGAGTTTGTTACTAACAGATCTTCAGCAAGGAAACTTCTAAAAGAGGTGCTTCCATAAGAAGGAAAGTTGTTGCAAAAAGAAAGTCTGAAATGCAAAAAGAATCAATTGATAATGATGTGAATGATTTTTTTCATCATATGTATGAAAAAAAGAGAACAAAAATGACGAGGAGGAAAAGTGAAAAAAGGGAAGGAGGAGAAAAAAGGGAAGGAGGAGTTTAAAAGGTAAAGATCAAGCTTTTTAATCAAAAGTGGGTAAAATCCTAAGATTCTTATATTTTTCAGGAGAGTATTTAAATACTCTCACTTTAAACTTTAATATATCTGATAAAATGTCAACCTTGATTACTAAAAGAAAAGAGCATACTATTTTAACCAGTGCAGGGGTAACATGTGATTAAGATAAAGATTTAACCAAGGGGGAAAAAAAATGAGTTAATTTTGAAAAGGCAAGAGGAACAAAGAAGCAAGAGCAAAAGACAGGCTGCACAGGGTGGTGCACTCTTGTAACCCTGGGGACTCAGAAGGCTGAGGCAGGAGGATGACAAGTTCAAAGACAGCATCAGCAACTTAGGGAAACCATAGGCAACTTAGCAAGACCCTGTCTCAAAATATATGTTTTTAAAAAAGGGATGGGAATGTGGCTCAGTGGTTGAACACCCCTGGATTCAATTCTGGTAGCAAAAAAAAAGAAAGTGAAAGACATGGGACAAATTTTATTTTGGTAGGTTCAAGTCCAAATATATTAATAATCACAACAAATATAAGTGAGTCAAACACCAATTTTTAAAATATAGTTTTCAAAATATAGCTATACTGTTTATAATAGTCACACCTAAAATATAAAGATGTGGAAAGATTCAAAATAGGAACATAAAATAAGAATTACCAGATGAATACCAAAATAATGCACAGAACATATTATTATTATTACTATTATTATTAGATAAAATAGATTGTAAAATAAAGAACATTGTTGGGAATAGAAACAGGCACTACATAATCATCAAAGTTTTCAATTCTCTGTGATTCTAACAATTTTAAACATGGGTACACAAAATTAAATTGCCTCAAAATAATGTACGACATCTCAGCACATTTCCAATAATTATTGAGAGTTTGAAAGACAGCAAATTAACACAGAGAAGTAATATTTAAACAACATATAAGATTGTTATAATTAACATATTTAATTATGCACCCAATAACTAGAGAACTTACATTTTTCTCAAACTCAAAGCAATGTTTCCAAAGATCAACTACTTACTTAGCAATAAAGCACATCTTAACATGTCTCAAAGAATCAGTATCATGCAGACAATATTCTCTAGCAATAATACCATACAAAATTTAAAAAACAATTACAAATTAAATGGAAGACTTCATTCAAACCATACATTCAAGAAATCCTATGAATCCAAATCAGAATAAGTACAAAGGAAAGTACATCAGAGTAAAACAGTGGTAAACCAAAGACAAGGAGCACATTTTAAAAGCACCTAGAAAGAAAAAAAGACATTATCTTCAGAGGAGCAACAGTAAGACAAACAACCATCTCCTTAACAGAAACCATGAAAGTCAAAAAACTATGTGCTAAGAGAAAATAACAATAGCATGGCATTTTATATTCACTAAAAATATCCTTCAAGGATAAAAGCAAAATGTAGTTTTGGACATACAAAAATTAACTGAATTCTTCACCAGCAGACACGCATTAAGGAAAATGCTAACAGGTAGTCTTCAGACAGAAGGCACATGATCCCAGATGGAAGCACAAAGGTGCAAGAAGGAATTAATAATAATAAAGAGGATAAAATGTGGTAAATATTAGTGAATATTTACTATGTAACACAATAAAATTGCCTTATGGGAAAATAATTGATAGATATAGATAATTACAATAATAGCACAAAAGTCAGAGAAAAGTAAGTAAAGTTGGAATGTTCTGAATATTACAATCATTGCAACATGTGCAGTTTTATTTACTAGTGTTGTACACATAGTGGACAAGTTCTCATGTAGAATATCTAGTCCATCTATATATTTAGAAATGCTTGATTCATTTAAAAGTAGAAAGAGTAGAATAAAACTTTTATAAACAGCTTTTAAAACCTGATGAGAAACACTGTGTTTGGAATTGTTAAACCACCTCTGAACTGTATACCATCTGTACTTGTTCATTGGGTTGAGGAAGATTGGTGGAAAGAAATTGCAAAAGATGTTCTGTTGGCATGTGCTAAAAAAATCTCAGCTTATCTATTGTCCTGTTCTTTAGAAATATATATATATCTTCATTGTGTTATCTGAGAAGGCCTAAAAGAAACAACATCCTAGAAGCAATGAACACCCCTAGCACCTAGATCTTGATCTTTAATATCAACTTCCAATAAAATAAAAAGAACTCAGAAGGACTTCTCAGAGAAATGACTAACTGGGACAAGGACAGCAAATATACAAGAGGAACCTGGAGCAACTTGTAATGCCAGAAAGAAAGAGTTCAAATGCACACACAAGTGCGTGCACACACACTGATGGGAATATTTCAAAAGGACATAGGAATCAACTGAAAGAGCTCCCAATGGCCAAAGCTAGAACAATTTATACAACAAAATAAATGAAGTAGTACT